AAGAGACCACACGCGTAGGTACATAACACGGGAACGGGAACATCCTTACATGAATAAATAAATATAATATGTTGTTGCTTCGTTCTTAAGAACTCACGCAATATATTATATAGCAATATAATATGTTGTTGTTTGTTTCTTAAATTAAGAAACCTTCACGCAATATATCTATATAGCATAATATGCTATATATATGTCGTTGCTTCGTTTTCAAAAACCACGCAATACATCGTATATCAATATAATATGTTTTTATTTCTCTCTTGAAGTCGTGTTTACACTACAAGCCTTCGCCTGGCCTTGGCCTACATTTTGGCAGTGTAAAGTGTAAACATGCAGACTTTGGCCTAGCCTTGGCCTGACCTATAGGCCAGGAAATCTGGGCAACTACAACCGGTGACCTAGGCATGGCTTACGCTTGTGGGAATGTAAACACTTACGGCCCATGCATGCCTTGTTTTTATGGCAACGTGTGAAGGCACAGTAAGATATTATCGGACGAGCCGTCACGAGCGGACAACGGGCAACACATATAAATACACAAAATTAATTACAAAATTCTAGACCAAATTCAGCCAGTCTCAAAAAAATAATGTAAGGCACATTTACCAAGGCTTGTAGTGTAAACAGGACTTTAGTCAATGCGCAGGATATAACCGTCGTGGGAACAGACTATAAACTCACAAAGTCTTTGGCAGTGTGCGAATGGGCGACTTTTTTGTCGGAATACGATGTGTTATCATGCATTTAATCACGGGCAATAGGACAGGTGTAGTGTTGTTAAATAAAAAGTTAGAAATGGTATTGTACTTACCCATGTATTATAATTATGTTTAGAAGATCAGAATATTCATAACTTCTTATTTTGTTTCATAAATAGTTCTTTAATATTCGAAACAAATTCCACATCTACTTTGTCTGCCGCCGCCATGTTTACTCGCCCCAATCTACATACTACACGGCATTGCCGCCCCTCCTGGCAAGATAATAAGCAAGCGAGAAAAATTAAGGAGAAAATAAGAGGGTAGGAACATTGTGGGCGTTTCGTGGGCGTGTCATCGTTCTGGGCGAATCAGCTTTCTCAATCTTGTATCACATGACTAATTCAAATCGTCATAGGCGGGAAGCAGCATTACACGTCATCCCTACGTCAAATAAAACGTTATAAAACGCGTCGTGGATACGTTTGTGCCATATATGGAAGTTATGGATACGTTTGTGCCATATATGGAAGTGTCACTGCATCCAGCTTATGACAACGATGTTCCTACCCTCTTATTTTCTTCTAATTTTTCTCGCTTGCTTATTATTTTGCCAGGAGGGGCGGCAATGCCGTGCAGCATGTAGATTGGGACGAGTAAACATGGCGATGGCAGACGAAGCAGATATGGAATTTGTTTCGAATATTAAAGAACTATTTATGAAACAAAATAAGAAGTTATGAATATTCTGATCTTCTAAACATAATTATAATACATGGGTAAGTACAATACCATTTCTAACTTTTTATTTAACAACACTACACCTGTCCTATTGCCCGTGATTTAATTATAACGTTTCCTTTAATTAATTGCCTCCGGCATAGGCTTTACATCTTGTTGTGCTCTGCCTATATGTAGTCACTTCATTTCGAACGCAAAGTTCTATTAGTTGTTTTCTCAAATCTCAATGCAAGGTTTAGATATGAGGATGGACATATTTAAATATATTCTAGGGTTTAATTTGTTGAAGAATTAATATATTTCCCACACAACAATTTCAATGTAGCCTATCGCATATTTTTAGGTGTATATACCAACTGGACATATTACCTTATGGCTTATATGCCATATATAAAGTTAATTGTGTTATCAACCCTATATAAGGGTTTAATAACAATGCATGCAAGCGTATTTGACGTTGCAAATGCACAACGAATAAATGCAGTGAAGTGCCGAATAAGCATCGACACTTGACCACAACTCCAAGTGTATTATAATGTAGCTATATGGTAGAAGAAAGCAAATTGTAAAGAATTTCTTTTTTGTCTTGCTTATAATATTATGTCGCCAGTAAAAACTAGGCTTCACACATTGCATTTTAAATATTCAGTTGAGCATTGGACATCACTTATGATGCTTTTTACTGAACAGAAATTATTCCACAAATTAAAATTGCTTTTTTTAGCTAGCCTCCTCAGCAGCGCCCATTCCGGCTGAGAGCAGGCGGCTACTTTTTAGGGAAAACCGCAAATTTAGGGCATTTTTCGACTCATTACGACTTTTACGCAAGACTTTTTACGCGCGAAACACGACTTTTCATCCAGTTCCGCCAAAACTCAAACATAACAGGCAGCATGCATTCAAGGCAAGTATTGATGTTCGACACGGATACATTAGCCTCATCATTATCCAACCCACTCAAACAGATTTTTGGGGGGTTTATGTTCTTTTTTTATTCGCTGCTTGTATATTAAGCACTTATTAATTGCCACGACTTTTTACAAAGACTAATTAGTTTTTCACGCAGAAATTAAAGACGTCTTGCACTTTTGTTACTCTTTCAACACAAATCTATCAGTTATATGGAATGTACTCGAGTTTCAGGAGTCAAAGCGATAGATCCGTCTAGCTATTTATGTAAAGGCAATACTGATAACTGAATTTTTTAATTACATGTGGTTTGTATATAATTTGAATTTGCAATTCTGTGGCAGTTGCTGCAAGGAGCCCAAGGATTTTTTCTGTCTTTTACTTAATAAAAGATAAAAAAGGTCGTATGGCGAAATAACATATGATGATACATGCATGTGTCGGCAAAATATAAATACTTCCTATCTTACACGTTCACCATATTAAATCCATGACAACATATCAGTATATCAATAGTGTTATACTGACAGTCACTTCGTTTCCTATGCCAAACTTATATGCAAATTATGATCGTAATTGTATAACATCTAATCTTACATCGCGTCAAAATTGGTAAAAACTAGTCCTTGGTCATTGCCAAGGCCGTCGCTACTATTAAACTGCTCAGTTTCGTCAGTGCTGCTGCTACCAGGAAGAAATGAATTAAAAATGCATCAATACAAACTTTCCAGGTTTGACTGCCAGTGCAGTTTTCCTCACAGTTCTTCCACAGTCGAAAGCTTGTGTTCAAATCCAACATTTTTAAATCTTTTCAACGTATTTTTAACGTAAGCCAAAGTCACCACGCATGACATATATGTTTCATAATTATATATCAAGACTGCATGGAAACGCCGAAAATGTAATTTACTCCTAGTCGGATAGAATTTCGCGGCGGCCTCATGTTTCATGCTGCTGTGTTTATAAATTTAAACTTATAACCTTTGCCCAATATACTCTGTAGCGGCTTTACTAAAATGCTAATTCTTATTCTCTACATTTACACTAAAAATACGAGTAGAAAAATAGAAACTTAACAAGAACGCAAAAATGAATGAAAACAAGAATAATTACACATTTCAATATGCCAGCAGTCACTATTCACTAACTGCTCCGGCAATATGCCCGCACGAATCAATCACTTGCCCTTTTGAATCCTGCTTTCGCGTCTATGACTACAACATCTTTAAAATGTTTTAATGTGTTTTAAGCCAAAGTCAGTACGCGCGAACGAAAGTGCAAACAAAAATCTTTAATACTAGTCGGATAGAATTGCGTGGCTTTTGACATATATTAGAGTAAAATGTAGTAAACGGCCAAGCAGCAGAAGGTTTTATACTAATATTAACCTTCGCCCAAACCTCAACTATACATGTCTATGATGTCTGTAGCAATAATAGTCACATTGTAATTTTAATTATGTAGATTTACACACTTTAACAAGAACGCAAAAAAATACTCAAAACAAGTATGATTGCATATTTCCACATGCTGAAGCCACTATTCGCTAACTGCTGTAGCAATATTATGCCCGCACGCGAAATCACTTGCCCATTTGATCCATCTGACAAATATTTTTCCAACGGAAAACACGGTGTCCATTGGATCCATTGGATCCAATGGACAATTCGTTTGGCTATCTCAATGGCCTTGTATATCTACATGACGTCCATGTGCTTGTCATTACGTCATTGTAATACATGGTAATTCACCAACTGAAAACGCAAATGTCCGATGGAAATTCCACTTGTCCATTGGATCCAATGGACAAACAAAATTCCAATGGACATTTGCAAGTCCATTGGATCCATTGCATCCAATGGACAATTCGTTTGACTATCTCAATGGCCTTGTATATCTACATGACGTCCATGTGCTTGTCATTATGTCATTGAAATACGTGGTAATTCACCAACTGAAAACGCAAATGTCCGATGGAAATTCCACTTGTCCATTGGACCCAATGGACAAACAAAATTCCAATGGACATTTCCAAGTCCATTGGATCCATTGGATCCAATGGACAATCCGTTTGGCTATCTCAATGGCCTTGTATATCTACATGACGTCCATGTGCTTGTCATTACGTCATTATAATACGTGGTAATTCACCAACTGAAAACGCAAATGTCCGATGGAAATTCCACTTGTCCATTGGATCCAATGGACAAACAAAATTCCAATGGACATTTGCAAGTCCATTGGATCCATTGGATCCAATGGACAATTCATTTGGCTATCTCAATGGCCTTGTATATCTACATGACGTCCATGTGCTTGTCATTACGTCATTGAAATACATGGCAATTCACCAACTGAAAACGCAAATGTCCGATGGAAATTCCACTTGTCCATTGGATCTAATGGACAAACAAAATTCCAATGGACATTTCCAAGTCCATTGGATCCAATGGACAATTCGTTTGGCTATCTCAATGGCCTTGTATATCTACATGACGTCCATGTGCTTGTCATTACGTCATTATTATACGTGGTAATTCACCAACTGAAAACGCAAATGTCCGATGGAAATTCCACTTGTCCATTGGATCCAATGGACAAACAAAATTCCAATGGACATTTGCAAGTCCATTGGATCCATTGGATCCAATGGACAATTCGTTTGGCTATCTCAATGGCCTTGTATATCTACATGGCGTCCATGTGCTTGTCATTACGTCATTGAAATACATGGCAATTCACCAACTGAAAACGCAAATGTCTGCTGGAAATTCCACTTGTCCATTGGATCCAACATTGGACAAACAAAATTCCAATGGACATTTCCAAGTCCATTGGATCCATTGGATCCAATGGACAATTCGTTTGGCTATCTCAATGGCCTTGTATATCTACATGACGTCCATGTGCTTGTCACTACGTCCGTGTAATACATGGTAATTCACCAACTGAACACGCAAATGTCCGATGGAAATTCCACTTGTCCATTGGATCCGATGGACAAACAAAATTCCAATGGACAAATAGAGATCCATTTGACAAATGGAATGTCCAATGGCCTTTCCATTTTTCCATCGGACATCTTGCATGGGTATTGGACATTAATCGAATCTATGACGGAAAAATCTTCAAATGTGAGATGTTGTGTCTGGAAAAAATAATATGGATGGTTGTAGCCTGAGTACCAGGTTCTATTTTACAATTAGGGTCTGACACAAACCTTAATCTTGTCGCTCTCCACCAACAGTAATGTTTTTATTTAGTATCCACTGAAAATGCGCCTGCGGAAATGTCAATTTCACATAAACAAAAACAATTAGAAAATTAAGGAAGTTGAAGTTTGATTAGGATTCTTTCAGTCTATCACAGAGCAGAGATTACACGAGAGGACGCTGATCATATTTTTAAAATAAACTAACTGAGCACCCCATTATACCTGTTCAGTGCAAGTAATTATTGCAGGCAGGTACATGTATTAGGGTGGGCATGTAGTCTCTGCTCTGCGGTAGACTGATAGAATCCTAATCAAACTTCAACTTCCAGGTAAGTCCTGTTTAATTTTCTAATTCTATCACTCTTACCACCGCAGAGATTCCGTGAGCTTTTAAAGCATTGGGGCATGAATTTGCAATCAACCCCAGAATAGTAATCACAATCTCAACACAACTGTTAGATTTATTTGATAGTTTCCACTTCAACACAATATAACGCGCGTACCATTAAGTAGTGACATCCACTAAAATAGTTTGACCAAACCTGTCATTCTCACAGTCTTCATAGCCTTCGCCAACTTGTTTGTTATAATATTTATGAAAAGTACAGTCTGACGCGCAGCTATCAGCTTCATTATGCTGGAGATTCCCACATTCCAAATGTTCAGTTTCAACTCTTGGTGTGAGGTATACACCCCGTACTTGCTGGCAGGAAAATTAGGATAGTTCCGCTTGCAAGTTGCAGGCTTGCATGTTTGCATGTACAATTGTTGTTCTTGTTGCTGTTGTTCATTTTTTATTGTTGTTGTTGTTGTTGCTATTGCTAATAGTTATAATTCAGGCGGAAATTACTGCTTAAAAAGAAATTACTGTAATACAATCATGAGTAATTAATTTTCATAAGTAATTAATTATATATGCTTGCAAAATCACCCTATCAAAAAGGTAATTAATGAAAATAGGGCAGTTTTAATGATCGAACTTAGGTTTTACTTATTTAATTAATTAACCAAAATTTGCAAATTCACTCAGAAAATTGTGAATTTGAATTCCGCAATAGGAAAATGTACTGAGATGACACCGAAATAATATTTTGATAGTTTTTCTTTAATGATTATAAATTATGATTCTATTTATAAAAAAAATGTCATTATAACTTGAATTTGTAATTTTTCCCTGGTGAAGGAAAGCCTAATTCGAGACCTTTATGTTTTACTGCGAGTACGACTATGAGATTCGTTGTTTGCGCATGCTCGCCATATTCTTATGCAACTACGTGCGCATGCACGCTATATTCTCATAATATAATACTTTTTATATAATACCCTATTGAATTCTGATCTTTTAGATGACTGTTTATGGTCACGTGATGTTGAATAGAAAATTCCATTTCCCAAGAGTGCAGTGAAATACGTTCCATTGCACTCTTTGCGAGTGCAATTGTACAATATACACTTAATGTCTGCACCCGAGGGAAATAGTTTTGTTTTCCCCAAGAATCTCTTCGTCTCGGGAAACATTGAGATTCGAGGAAAAACAAAACTAACTATTTCCCGAGGGAAAAGACGTTAAGTGTTTTGTTATATAGCGACGAAACAAATATCAACATTGAACAACATTCATACAACAATATTTGTATTTCATGACAAAAACTCTATAGCGTAAACGAGTTTAAAATTTAAAAAACCTACTTAAATGGTTTCAGCAGCATATCCTGTTGCCTGTTGTGTATTTTTCTTCTCTTTTACATTCTTTATTTTAACACAAAGCCACGAAAACAGTAGTTTAAATAGTATAAATTTGTGCCGCCATTTTGTTTATTTATGTACGTAGCCGGTCGGGGCGGGCAACAATTTTTCACTTATTGCCCGGGCGGGATACATTGCATTTATCTAAAGCCACGTGACTACAAATCAGCCAATCACGTTTGGTGTTCACACTAGCTATATAACAATACGTTTTATTCCATTGCACTCTTTGTGTTTTCGATAAATTGCATCCGTCAGAATGCTTCTCACACGAATCTATTAGTCTGATAATGAATGTTTATTCGTTCAATAGTAAGAATATTTTCATTCGGTGAAAGATGGAATGTTCCATTCAACTCAGCTGTCGCCTCGTTGAATGGAACATTCCATCTTCCACCTCATGAAAATATTCTTACCATTGCACTCATAAACATTCATTATTTTATACTATTTGTGGAAACACCACGTAATTTTATTACTGCAATAATAAATTTACGTGATGTTTCCGCAAACAGAAAGTATTACTTACAGCCCCGCTCTTCTTGTTATTTTACAAATAAACGAACCTCGTACTCGTAGTTGTACTCATTATAAAATCTAAAGTTCTCTATATTAATCATCTTTTCTCGTGCCTTTTCAACAAAGTTATTAATTACAGCTCAAAATTGCAACGAGTAGCCGATGATGCGTTACACTATTTATTGTTACAGTACTTAAAGCTCTGCTGTTCTTGTTATTTTTAATAAAGGTATGAGAAAAATGGCATCGTTGTTGCTATATTATTTCGTGGCCTGCCGAATGCGAATGAAAGAGATTTCTCTGAGTGGGCAAATAACTTGGGTTATGAACCATTTTCCTATGTTGGCGGAGTCGTTCCAAGGAATGAGATAGAACCTAATGTCAGTGAGGGCGCCCAGGATGATAGTGTAATTACCTTTGAACCACATAACGAGATGGCGTACTCACCCAGGTTTCCAAAGGTGTGTGTACTGTATTTATTTTTTCTCATGCATTGTTAGGAAGTTTTAACTAATGCAGGACACACGCACCAATAATGCTATTTCAGTACGGAGTACCTCAAGGGAAAATGGCAGCAAAACTTATTTATAATTTTTCCCTAATTCGAAAGAATGTTAAGTACTATTAAGTTAAGCGAGTGGGCAGCACGATAGATGGCTTATATAAATATACTAATGAGGATGAGTTTTATCACATGCAGTATAAAGCCTCTTCGCGTGATCGATATATTTTGGTTAACATGATTTGCCAATAAGCTTATGAATTATTAATGAGTGTTTGAAGATTAATTAATTACAAATCCTTTGTAATCGAGAATGACTGGTTTTGGGCGAGACATTTGAAATAGAACTAGAAAGACACGATTAAGGAGAACGAACTTTCAAGACGTGAAAGACGCATATGAGAGGACAAATACACTCTCTAAACCAGTTTAATGCATTTCTTTCACAATTAATCGATATCCCCTGCAAGAATGATACCGTATAACTCTCAAAACAACGATGCTTTAATCAAAGAGCTTAAATTCGCTCTGAAATCTGTGAGGGAATAACAAAATTCGGCCAAAATATATCCGCGTGCCGGGTTTGCTGGACAAAAAGCGGAAGTCGTTGAACAACTCAACCCTGATTGGAGAACGAGTATCAACAAAAATTTCAAATTTTTCTCCACTGGGAGAGGGGACAGTACTTGGAACAGTACTGTAATAATTTGAATCAAAACAATTCATTTTGTGTTGCTGATACTTCTAATGTCCTATCGACTGATTTAACTACGTTTGTATTCTTACACAGTAGCATGTGTACAGTTATTGGTGCCTTTGACATATATAAATATATTATTACTGTAAGCATTAAGCGAAAAATCGAGGATAGTTTTGTGAGACATATGCCAAGTCTGGGCTATTTTGGTCTCAATGTTTCCTTCCTTCCCTCGTTATAAGGAAGGCACAGGCTGGCGCGGACAAATCGAGCCTGGGTCTCCTGTGTCCTAACAACAAGGAACAGTGCGTTAGATGTCTTTTATCTCTCAAGAGAAAGTTACTTCGGAACAACACAGTCAGGAAAGAATATACAGAATTTATGAGAAAGATTTTTGATCGTGGGCATGCAAGCTACGTACCAGAAGAACAACCGACCAAAGTATGGTACCTCATCACCCTAGAAAACCAGAACAAATCCGAGTGGTCTTCGATTGCATCGCACCTTTTGACAACCAGTTCTTAAATAAGCTCTTGCTGCGAGGACCAGATCTAATGAACAGTTTGATCGGCGCCCTAATGATATTTCGCAAAGAATATGTGTCGCCATCACGTACGACATTGAACAAATGTTTCATAGTTTGTATGTTATTCTCAAACACCGCAATTTCCTTCGTTTCTTGTGGTTTAAAGATAACCAACTCGATGGACAGATAGTGGAATGTCGAATGAATGTACATCTAGCTTTTCGGGCAACTTCTTCTCCTAGCGCCGCTAATTTCAGTTTACAAAAACAGATATTGGACGAGAACAACTTGGAAATGGAGCTGCATGCAAACTTTTTCCAAACCGATTTCTACGCAGATGATGGATATACATCTGTATCAACCAACAAAGAAGCTATTGATCTGATTCAAACAACCCAAGCAATGTAAGTAATCGACGAGAAGTTCTAGAATCGTTTGCAGTAGATGATCGAGTCAAATATCTTAAATACATCGATCTTCTGCCAGTTCAACATTGAACATCGACATTGACGTTCTGCCAGTTCAAAGATCGGTGAGAACATCCTGGTGTATAGAGTCCGACACTCTTGGCCTTCGTATAGAACTGAAAGATAAACCTGCCACAGGCCTCTCCACAATTTGCTCGGTCTACCACCCTCTTGATATACAACAATCTGCAAACTGTCTTCTATACAGACTCAGAAATTGCATTGGGTTACATCAATAACGAAGCCCACCGTTTCCAATACTACGTCGGGAACAGAGTCCAACATATCCGCAATCGCACCGACCCAGAGCAGTTGCACCGTGCTAGTGGTAAAAACAACCCAGCTGACGAGACTCCTATATAGTGGTCTTGCTGTTCGAGAAATACTTGACCACCAGGGACCGGTTTTATAAAACTCTTAATCACTTTTTAATCAGTATTTTCTAGTTAAATAGTGGTTAAATATAACCACGTAGTTAACTAGTCTGTTAAGTCGGTTGAATAAAAAGGTAGTTCGCGTTAACTGTAGTTAAAATGTAGTTAAAGTTAACCATGCTGTAGGGTGTCGTTAACTTCTTAAAACGTAGTTCAAAATGGCGCTTGCATGTTTTTTGTTTGTTTTCTTTGGGGTTTTTTTATCAGCTTTATTGGACGTGCATATAAAAGGTTACATATTATTATACAAACAAAGAAAATTACAGGGTATACGTCCAATGGGGCTAGCGCAAACGGGACAACGAGACCCATGCAGGGCGCCACCCCTAAACTAAACTAAACTAGTGAAAACAAACCTATTGACTATACAGAATATATACATATTAACTTAGGACTTAAGTACGGTGACAAGGGCAGTCTCTTATGAGCGACCAAGTATATGTCATCTCTACATTAAAAGTACTGTTCACCAAGGCGGTGTATGTCTTGTGCAAAAAGCTTTTAAAAATATTTAGACTGGCAAACTTTTCTGGAGAGGCTATTTTACATATATAGTTCCAAGGCTTTACTATTCTATTAAAAAAAACGATGCCTGAAAGGTGGATGTTTTACAACAGGAGTGTTTTAGCATTAGGGTTAGATTTTGTGCGCGAGATCGATTGTGCTCTACGAAGGTTAAAAGTTGATTAATGTTTAAATCGGTATGACCAAAAATACATTTATAAACCAACACAAGATCTCTGATTTCTCGATCATAAGTTAGTGGCAATAGGTTTAGAGATTTCAGGCTGTCTTCATATGACAGCTCACCAAGTTTAGTTCTTAGAATCCATCGAGTTGCCCGTCTCTGTACTCGTTCTAAGAGAATATGAAACGTTGCGTTTGAAGGTAACCAAACCTCAGTTGCGTAGCACAGCTGCGACTTTACCATAGCTAGATAAAGTCTTCGTCTAACTTTGGTGTCTGTGATGAGAGGACATGTTCTTTTCAGGAAACCGAGCATCCTGTTAGCTTTGCTGACGATTGAGGAGATGTGGTTGTCCCAAGATAGGTTGCTATCGACGATAACTCCTAGGTCGTTTTCCTGTTGAACGCGTTGTAAAATGGCGTTGTCCAGGTGGTAGTCCGTAAGTACAGGCGATTTCTTCCGAGTGACCGTTCATACCTTACACTTGGAGGCATTAAACTTCATATTGGAGTTATGACTCCAAGTATTTAGGTTCGATATGTCACGTTGCAGGTTCTCACAGTCACTTCGGGACGAAATAGAGCGGTATAATTTTGTGTCATCTGCATAGAGAGCTGAACTCGTCTGTTCCTGGATAGAGTCTGGTAAGTCATTGATAAAGATGACAAACAGCAGAGGTCCAACAAGGCTTCCTTGGGGCACACCAGACGTGACTGGTAGGTACTGAGAGGCAACACCGTCTATCACAACTCTCTGATATCTATGGTTGAGATAGTCCTTAAACCAGTTAAGGGGTTGACCCGTTACGCCATACCATTTAAGTTTCTGGATAAGAATGACATGGTCTACAGAATCAAACGCCTTAGCGAAATCAAGATAAAGCATATCAGTTTGAGTGTTCCGGTCGAGTGATTTACCAATAGAGTGGAGAACAGGCAGGAGTTGTGTCACACAAGAACGATTACGCATGAAACCGTGCTGAAGTTCGGTGATTAGACGTGACACGTTGGCATAGAACCTGTTGCAGACGCAGCGTTCCATCACTTTACTAACTATTGACAATAAAGAGATGAGTCTGTAGTTTCCAGCAGGTTCCTTCAGATCTTTCTTGTGCACAGGTGTTACGTCTGCATTCTTTCATTCGGCTGGAAAACGCCCAGTGCGCAGAGAGTGGTTGAATAAAGCACATAAACTTGGTGCGACTTCCTTGCAACATTGTTTTAGAATGTGTGCAGGAATCCCATCTGGACCGGAGGCTTTAGATGAATCTAAGCCAGCCAAGCAAAGTTCCACTTCTTCCACAGACAGCTGCACATCGGAGATTTCAACATCTGATCGATTGGGGTTAGAGGGCATCGTCCTGGGCACGGTGTTGGGAGAAGTAAACACAGAGCAAAAGTACTTGTTAAAGAGCTCAGCTTTTTCTCCGGACGTCTTGGCTGTTTGACCATTATGCGTAATGACAGAGTCGACTCCTGAGCGATGATGTAATACCGCTTTATGATAGCTCCTGAACAGTTTTGGATTTTCACAGAAAGAACCCACGATTTTGTCGAGGTAATCACGATGTTTATGCCTGACAAGGATTTTGATCTCATTACTTGATCTCATTACTTACATCTAAGTTTACGTTTTACGTTTGCGTTTGCCTGATTTCTCCATCAATCCATGGAGGAGAGTTTGTGTCTTTTATAACTTTAACAGGCACACATTTTTCTACTGCAGCTAAAAATAATGCTTTCCAGCAAAACCAGTAGAGATCAACATCATCAGAGACGGACTTGTCTAATGCGTTAAGCTGCAGACGGTTACGAAGGGCCTCGAAATCTGCTCTCTTGTAGTTGTACGCTTTACGTTGCACACGCTTTGCTCGCTTGAACTTCAGCCGTATAGAGAAATCTACTAGGTAGTGATCAGAGGGGAAATTACTTTCCACTGGAGTGAAAGTGGAGACGTGGTCGATAACTTCCGGACAGTTGGAGAGAAGCAAGTCGAGTTTGTTTCCTGCTATATGAGTAGGGCCTTTAATGAATTGAGTGAGGAAGTTATCTTTTGTTAGGACGCAGAATTCATTGTCCTTCTGAGGCCCGCCGATGTTAGTAGGGGCGGATTAATGGGAGTGAACAACATTTTTCAGTAAAACAATAATGAAAAACAATGTTTACATGGGATTTTCAATCGCCATCTTCCCTCTGAATGTTTCCTGACAATATAAACTCTTGAAACGCCATCGCTTTGATTTTTTTGCTAAAACAAAATATAGTTTTGCACGGGAAGATTTCTCGAAGACGACGTAGGGCCCATTACACGAAGAAACATGATATAAAATTGCCAAACGATTACACTTTGGTATAACGTAGACATCTCAAGTAAAAACGGCCTGCTTCGTTGAGATTTCCTTGTTTTCGTCTTTATTTTTCACTATTTTGAATAAAATTCCCGCCCTATTTGCAAAATGCGATTCCAATATCGATCACGTTAAAAATGCTTGTAAGCCGTCGTTAATTACTAAATTACTCTTTACTTTATGCAATTTTTCTGTTTAACCACTCCGCGCAAAACTACGTGATTATAGTTAATCACCAATAAACTACGTTTTGTGCAACGCAATTAATTCGTGTAGTTTTAACTGATCATAGGTAAGGATTTAACTATATATAGTGATTAACGCGAATCATAGTTAAAGTTAACAACGTTTTTACTCAACTGGTATAGATCCCCGAATGAACGGCCCACAACTGAACGACAGTTACGTAGAAGTAAAGACAATTGGCGTGTCATTGTCACTGATCTCCAACGCTGTGCATGGGTCTTTTGGACGAGAAGCAACCAACAGAAGCTCTTCCGTACAGGTATATATTTCCATGCAACCTAAATCTAAAGTATTTCGATCGTTTTTCTTCGTTGCATCAAGTAAGGAAACGATTAGCTCAGATCAAGAGAGGAGTCGCAAGTCTCAAACGGAAACATGAAGATTGGAATCTCATAAAAAGATCTGTCAGCACAGCAGCGCCTCAGAAAGAAACAGCAACGGCAGCAATCTCCGTTGGTGAACTGCTTAATCAGATATTGTTATTCTACCACGGGCAATAGGACAGGTGTAGTGTTGTTAAATAGAAAGTTAGAAATGGTATTGTACTTACTCATGTATTATAATTATGTTTAAAAGATCAGAATGTTCATAACTTCTTATTTTGTTTCATAAATAGTTCTTTAATATTCGAAACAAATTCCATATCTGCTTCGTCTGCCATCGCCATGTTTACTCGTCCCAATCTACATGCTGCACGGCATTGCCACCCCTCCTGGCAAAATAATAAGCAAGCGAGAAAAATTAAGGAGAAAATAAGAGGGTAGGAACATTGTGGGCGTTTCGTGGGCGTGTCATCGTTCTGGGCGAATCAGCTTTCTCAATCTTGTATCACATGACTAATTCAAATCGTCATAGGCGGGAAGCAGCATTACACGTCATCCCTACGTCAAATAAAACGTTATAAAACGCGTCGAGGATACGTTTATGCCATATATGGAAGTTATGGATACGTTTGTGCCATATATGGAAGTGTCACTGCATCCAGCTTATGACAACGATGTTCCTACCCTCTTATTTTCTCCTTAATTTTTCTCGCTTGCTTATTATTTTGCCAGGAGGGGCGGCAATGCCGTGCAGCATGTAGATTGGGACGAGTAAACAAGGCGATGGCAGACGAAGCAGATATGGAATTTGTTTCGAATATTAAAGAACTATTTATGAAACAAAATAAGAAGTTATGAATATTCTGATCTTTTAAACATAATTATAATACATGAGTACGTACAATACCATTTCTAACTTTCTATTTAACAACACTACACCTGTCCTATTGCCCGTGATTCTACAAAGCCCCCAGCAAAGTCATTATGCTCAAAAGATAAAAGCACTGCAAAATCCTTTAGGCAACAAAAGCAGATTCGAAGACCGCAAAGACGCTCGTGAAAGGAACCGTCAGGTCAAACAAACGAGTACCCTGTATAGACTGGATCCATTCTTCGACCTGGTAGGACTCCATCGAGTTGGTGGCCGTATACTGTACGCCGAGCATCCCTTCCGTATATATGATGATAAGCATCCTGTGATTATTCCTAAGAGCAGTCATATCACAGTGCTAATTACTCATCATTATTATGAAAAATTCGTCCAGCATCCAGGTCGTGGAATTACGTTGAATGCCATTCTACAAGCTGGTTATTGGATAACCAACGGACGATAAAGGATATTATGTTTCATTATATGGCACGTGTAGCACATTATATTTCAAATTGTGTCACATACCGAAAGTTGCGTCGTGCAAACCTCACACAAAAGATGTCTGACCTCCCCGAAGAGCGTTTGAAACCAGCTGCGCCGTTTTTTTATACTGACATGGAATTTGATCCATGGCATATCAAAGATGGACGAAAGACTGTGAAACGATACGGTTTGATCTTTACTTGCCTATGTCCCGTGCAGTTCATCTAGAGACACTCAATTCTATGGAAACTGACTCATTCATCAACGCTTTGAGGCGATTCATCAACCGACGTGGGAAAGTCCGTGAATTACGTTCGTATCAAGGAACAAGCTTCGTCGAGGCCAAGAATGAACAACTTCAGCTCTAGACAAACTCAACTGAGATCGTATCCACGATTTGTCAGTGGACGGTTCGCTATGAACGTAAAGTTAAAACTACAATTGTCTCCAACATTTTTATGTATAATATCCATACGTACAGTAATAGGATGGCTTCTCGTGAAATTTGGATAAAACTCATGAGTTTTTCAAAGATTTTGATGCTCTTTGAAAAACTCACTCGTGCATGGTTTATCCAAATTGCACTCGAAACCATCCTATTACCTATACCAAATATGAATCAAAGGGAAATATACACGGAGCTATGAAATAACAGTTCTTTGCAGTTTGCAGAGTATGTATAGGAAATATTTTTGGGACTTCTACAAATTCATTTCAATTTTATTTTATTTCAGATATTCAGCATAAGTTGTTTAAAGAAGTCCCAGTGGGGTGGCGAGACAGCAATTTGTGATAATCGTGACTTCCATGTAAAGTTAGACCCAGCATTTGTCCAGAAATGCGAAGATAGAGAAATTCGTTATTGGAACTGTCTACACAGTAAGGATAGTTATAAAAATCGTTATCAAAGCTGGCAAATGCGTTTTAAAACCGAAGATAAGGATAACGTAAACGATTTTTTAAAAAGCCAAAATTATCATTATTCCTGGGAAGAGAACACTTTGTTTTACTGGAAAAATTTATCGCCCACTAAAGCACACCCCATAAGCGGGAAACAACTGTGGTTTAATCAGTTATCAAGTGTTCATGCAAGTTACTATGATGATATTCCAAGCTATGAAGACCTGAGGTTGGCTTACAAAGAGTACCCAGCTCATACAACGTACGGGGATGGAGAAGAATTTGCAGAACATGAAATTGACAATCATCGACGTTGTATTTGGGAAAGTGCTGTTGGATTCGACTGGCAAAACGGCGATATACTCTTTTTAGATCAAATGATAGTTCAGCATTCGAGACTAAGTTTTCAGGGCGATAGGAGAGTTGGTGTTAGTCTCCTCAATTACTGAGAAACTTTTTGGATTGAGGTTGGATTTACTAGTATCAGACAAAAGAATAAGTTTAGAATGTTAGACAGTAGAGAAAGAGTAGGCATAGGAATATACCCAGTAGATTTGAGATTATACCTACCTGTACCCATTGAACTAGAAGTACGTTTGAATACTAAGTCGTGTGAATCGTTTTCTGATTCGTTGAAGCCGATGCGTGAGAAAATAAACTTTCAAAACGACTGAGGAGAGTTTCGAAGTGGGGGATGATTTATGTCAATCAATGAATGAAATAGAAAAGTATTAATTAAATAATAGCGTAGTTGCGCGGGTTTCTTTTGTTTCTTTTGTTTCATTAGTTCTAATCTCCCGTTGACAAGGGTCACACCCTTTGTCTCCCTGCCGAGACTACGCATTAGGCAAGTGCCTGTGGTACTAAAGTCCACCACAGTCCGGCCTATTTGGCAAAGATGGCTGAGAACAAATGGCACTGAAAAAGCCTCCACTATCGAAAAGGCACAAAAATGCGAGGCTGAATTGGGCTAAAAACTATATGAAGACATGCAGTCATGAAATGTGTATTGTTTACAGACGAGTTAAGAGCAACCCTAGACGACCCTGATGGTTGGTCGAAAGAATGGGTCTTCCGTTGTGATTAGTGCCCAACAAGAATGAGACATGGTAATGGTAATGGTTTATTAATAACTCTTTGCAGAACATTACATCTGAATTACGAGTTACTTACATGATTAAAAAATAGATTATATTATAAAA